CAAAGCCCACTGCCCTCTCTTTTAGACCACTAAGTACTTTTTGCTGCTAGTAGGCTAGTAGGCTGTTGAAGTATATGTGCAGCTGTTGACGTGTATGAGAGAGAGACAGAAAGCAAGAGAGAGAGAGAGAGAGTGAGAAGAAGAGAGCCAGACAGAAAGTGACAAAACAGACAGAGAGAAAGAAATAAAATGGGTGGCAGGGAGAGCAACTGTGCTTACAGTAAAAGCGTCACAACAGCAGCTCACACACAGCGATGAGTGAGTAGCACTTGAGATCAGTCTTATAAAACCTTGCCTTGAGCAACTGAGCGGAGCCTTATAATGTATTTAATGCATGCCTGAAACTCAACTACAACAGACTTTCACCGGTTTTAACTTGCTACAAACTTGAACCTAAATGTTCAGGAGAGAAAAAAAAAGTCTTCCAAACATTTAACTTGAATTGTCTGTTGATGTTCATCTGACTGTAACAGGTAACAGAAAACTATAAGTATGGTGCCCCCTTAGGGACAAACAACATGCATCCCCAGTCACCACTGGATCCGCAAACTCTTTGGGATGGTTTAATCTTGTCCACTGTGTATATATTCTACTGTGATACGTATTTCCATTCAAATACTAATATCATGCATGAATGTTAACTGCCATGTCTTTTTAGTTTTTAATACTCTTTACTAGGGCTGACCCCCAATAGTAGAAGATTCGATGCTTTGATGGGCAGAGCCTGATTCGACTGTCAATCTCACAGTCGAAGCTTCGCGGCGGATCATGCCATTTTGGCGATATGGGGGTGCTCAATGTCTGATTTTACATAGAACTACCAGTTTTCTCCTATTACAATATACATTTCAACATTTAATGCTGTATATAAACATGTAAAAAGAATAAAACTTCCAATAAATGTTTTTAAAGTGCGTGAATAAATCCAAAATTGTAACCCTAACCCTGGGTCGTCAGTGTGCATGTGTAGGCGTAGCGTGTGTGCGGTGGTGGAAGAGGAACACTTGCTGAAGAGAGAGAGAGAGAGAGAGAGAGAGAGAGAGAGAGAGAGAGAGAGAGAGAGAGAGACATGCTTACTGTTTTATTTATTTATTTTATTTTATTTTTAATATATTTGTATTTTTTAACAAACACACACACAAACATGCTACTGTTTTATTTATTTATTTTATTTTTAATATATTTTTATTTTTTAACACACACACACAAACACACACATGCTTACTGTTTTGTTTATTTATTTTATTTTTAATATATGTTTTTTAAACACACACACACAAACACACGCTTAGTGTTTTATTTATTTATTTTATTTTAATATTTCTTTTTTTTTTCTTTTTTTTTAAAAACACAAACACACATACGCTTTGATTACTTTACGCTTTAATTGTGTAATGAAATGTATGGGGCTGATTGTTCTTATGTTGTGTATATATGATGCTTTGGCAATGTTGTTATTACATTCATGCCAATAAAGCTAATTTGAATTGAATTGAATTGAATTGAGAGAGAGAGAGAGAGAGAGAGAGAGAGAGAGAGAGAGAGAGAGAGAGAGAGAGAGAAAAGGGTCTTCAAAAAGCCTCAGTTTAGCTGGAAATTTACAGTATAAGTTGAATGAATAGAGACTTGCAGCTCTGCAGCTTCTCAAGATTAAAGCGGAGCTACCATGTGACAATTTCTTACTTTTAGTTTTGTGAGTTGTTGAGTTAAGGGAAAATTTATAAACTTTATAAAATGTTGTCTACTACAAAATTGTTATTATTGGTCTCTCTCTTGTAAATTTGGCAAGTGTAATACATTAAGTTATTCCTTTCTTTGTATAAAAATATAGTTTGTTTCACTAGATAAATGCCTTAATAGCAGATCAGCTGTTCAGATGAGTGCAGTGCCCACTGTTGCACACACAGTTATTTCTTACTGTATTTACTTGTTTGGTACATGACAGGACTTGATTTCAGTGGAACTTTTTGTTGCTGCAACAGAAAAGTTAATCAAAAGATGTGTTTTTGAAATCAGTATTTATTTTTTGGTCGTGATTGTTAATTAGCACATGCCTAAAACAACCTCAAGCCTAATATAAAAGCTGATGGCTAAAAAAGATGCATTGTGATGCATTCATAATATTATTCAGTTCAATAATCAATAGATTTATCAACTATCAAAATAGTTATTAGTTTCAGCCCTATTCAAAAGAGTCATTCACCCTTCAAACAGCAACTCAAATGTCAATATGAAAAGACCTATGATGATAAAGCCAAAGTAATGTGCAATGGAAATTCACCTATTTTATGATGTCTTTCAGGATAAATCATAGGAACAAGAGCATTTATCCATTGAAGAGAATATGTATGCACAATCTGGTTGGTATCTACAACAAATGCACATCAGAAGTCCTTGGAGTGAGTTGTAATGGAAAACCACAAGGAAGCTTATTGAAGTTCATGACCTCACCAATAGCTACTTCCCTCTTCACTTATCCTCACACAATCACACACACACGCATGCACACACGCAGCTTATCCACTCTTCACTGTGTACTTCAGGATAGAGCGCCGTCATGTTGAAAGATGCTGTTGCCAGCGCACCTGTGTGTGTGCACGTGGGTTCCTGTGTGTATATACGTGTGGGGGTGTATATGTGTGCACATGAAAACACCTTCTCATGTTTCAGCAGTAATGGCCCTGCTGAAACATACGTCTCCCACTCAAAGGTTCCAGGCTGCTGTTTAACACACCACACAGCAGTGTTTCCTCAGCAACTGTGGGAGTCAGGGTGGGCTGCCTAACCTAAAGAGTGTAGGTGAAAATAATTTAATTTAATAGGCTGGATGAGTGCATCATAATTTGAACTGTGTACTGCATATACTGTAGGTTTAAGGTTGGTTTTGAGAATTATTCATAAAAGTAAGTATTGTTGGCGTGATAAAATCATTAGTTATATGTTCACATTTCATTATATAGATGATTTATATCCTCCTTATAACAAAGCAGTTGAGGCCTTATGTTGGACAACAGCCACCTATAAAATAAACAGAAACATACCATCTCACAAACAAGTGCACACAACACTGGTAGGATGGGGACATAATATATATAGACACTTTTATACTATATTTTGACAGGACAGTGCATAGTGAGAGAAAAGAGGAAGAGAAATAGGGGGCAACACGCAGCAAAGGGCCACCGGCTGGAATTGAACCAGGGCCACTGCAGCAGGGACTCAGCCATTGTACATGAGGTGCGTATTCTACCAACTGAGCTAACAGCGTCCCTGGGAGCCACATGTTTGAGGTATTATCTGTTTCAAACAATCTCACTGAGAGCCTCTTCTTCACCTTGCTCTTTTAACTAAGTACCATCTGCTCAGCATATTCCGGACTGATGGCTGAAGTGTGATTCTCATTTGAAAGCATCCATATGTAAATGTGCAGTTAACAGCACCTGCCTCCCCTGACTGAATGACCTAACGTCCTTTAAGATGCACTCAGTTGTGCTGTGGACCGGTTTTTATTGCTACACATGCAAGGACCTCTTTCACTTTGTTGTGCACACCATCCTGTGGCACCACTCCTGACTTGATGTCTGTGCTTTGAGAGCAAGGCCTGGTCTCAGTGACTGACATTAGGTTGCTTGCAAAGCATGTGATCATGCAACAAAGATGCATACAAATGTTTAATCTCCCTGCTTCAGCTCACGGTGCTTTTACACGTTACAAACCTCCTTAGTTGTCATAGTTGTCCATGCAGCTGGCTATGAAATGCTCCCAGATTCTAATAAATTTCCTCTTGGCAACTGAGCTAAATCACTTGTGCTGGTGCAGGCTAAAGTTACATATTGCTGTCCCAAAGGAAACATTTACATTTGCAAACACGTAGTGCTCACAACTCCAAATTCTCAAAAGATGTAAACAAATGAAAAGTGCAGGAATATATATTTACAAGCTCTAATACTATTTCTCTTTTAAGAGTCTCTCTTATGTTTGTGCAGAACCACTGCTCTGTGACACTGCTGCTTGAGGGAAAGGGAACAAGTAGCAAAACACCACTGATCATGAAGCCCACAAAGTGAGCTTTTACAGCTCGAGTTACATATTTTAGGACAGGTTAAATATACAGTAATTTATGAAGGATATTGAGTCACTGTCCTTATGTTGCTCTTGGCAAGTTTAGATTTCAGAGAAACACGCAACTTGAGACTGACTCCCATAACTGCTGTCCTCCTACTTCCGGGATATACTGTAGCTGCACGAAGTGGGCTATTTTGGCTAGCTTGGTTGGCTGCAAAATTAGGTATTTGCAGAGAAAGTAGTAAGGTGGTTCCTGTTAGTACCTCAGCTAGTAGGACTACTACAATGGACCAGAATGAACATTTACTGTTACTTTATCAAATCACATCCATATACTTCAGTTTTTTTTATTGATTTGTGTGCAAACTTCCAACTTCTATAGTACTGGTCAATTACTAAATATGTGAAAAATATCACTCAACTGTGTCAAAATGTGTTTATATACACTAACCTCTAATTACTGGAGGCTGACACAAGGCTTTACAAAAAGGATTGTGGTGACAGCAAAAGACTATATATATATCGCTAAAAGGAGATAGATTTTATTTAATTATTTTTTGATATATTGTCATCAATTTAGGCAAGAAAGTTCAAGGTGTATAACACACAATAAATATTATTATGCCCCAAAATCATGCATCATCACCGTGTTGTACAGAGATGTGTTGTCAATTTCTTTCATCTTCTCCCCGAGTAGGGTAGCAAGAAAAATGATAGCATAAAAACTTACATGTTTCCAATAACAAATGGTACTTACAGTAAATGGCATCAAAAACATAAATGCTATTTGGCTTATGATGTAATCCAAAATATCTTATTGGGATTATTAATATTTGGGGGAATACATTGTAGTGTGTGTAGTGATAATAGACAGAAACAGAGCATCTGACCGACTAGAGACTGACTGATGAATTGATGATACATTTTGCTCTTACCTGTAAATGAGAGATGATGTAAGCTGAGATTCACTTTCATAGATGGGGCTGGTCACACAGCTCTCGAGTACCTGCATGCACACACAAGAAAGTACACTAAGAAAATATAGAGGCCCATTTACAAAAACAGAAATGTATGAGTTTGGTTAATGTCAAAGACAGGGATGCGGATTTATGACAAACAAAAAGCAGTCCCATTCCCTAAGGGCAAGTGGTACACTTAGATTACAGTGTACACCTGTTACATTTTTACAATTAGGACTGCTATGGTGGTGTCCAACGTGTTTTTTTAAATTCATATAAAATCCGTAGCTATAATTCAGTCAGCTTTGCTTTATTGCTTTCATGGACCTCATATGTTTATTTTATTTGACGTATCAAGTTAAATGAAACATAAATTACAGTAAGTCATATAAAGTGACTTTAAAACATTGTGTTTTCTACATACAGGTTGTATGTCAATAATTGCACATTTTATTATCTCTTGTGATTGGAGGGGCAGGTCGTACAGATTCCCACCTGTGGAGTTGGAAAATTAAACTCAAATAAAAAAAATTATACAAACATGACACTCTGGGCGGGTCCATTTCTTCATCTCTAAGAAAACACAGTCTCCAAAACACTGTAACTCACACTGGATTCATTTCACATAACGTTTCTTTTTATTGCCACCCAATAAACCACTCCAGCCTTATGTATGTGTGAGTGTGTGGGGGCGTGTCCGAGTGTGCCTCTCAGTTTTGTGTGTCTGTCTGTGCCCTTTTCTGCACGTGTTAGCCTCCATAGTCAGAACTGACATTAGACAAAGAGGTCAATTCATATTAAGTGTTAAAAGGGTCAGATTGTCCATAAATCAAAAGGTCTACAAACTTTAATGCATCTCACAAACCCACAACCAGTGGAAAAAGAAATTAAAATTATTACATTTACTCAAATAAAAAGGTGCCATTCAGTTCTTGACAAAGAAAATTATATTGGTAATTGCTTTTAGCTCACACACAGCTCCAGTAAAATAAAGCCTGAAAACACTCCATGCTTAATGGGAATGACAGGGGACAAGCCTCATCCAGACTAGAAAAGTCAATCATCAATCAGATGCCTCTAAAAATGTCACACAGATTTTGAAAAATAATACAATTTGGGTTTGTTTGCGTAGCTGACAGATGAAAGATAATGAATTCTCAGCTCAAGACAGATGATAGATACTAGGCTGATGAAGAAATTTACAAGTCAGTCTTTGTTTATGCCATATGTTCTCAAACAAAATGTTCATATCTGTCTGACCTGACCTGAACAGTAAAAGGGTACGCGCATGAACCCAGGGGTACACACCTAACCTTAGTCATTTTACCAACAGAGGGAAAAAGCTTTATTCTACTCCATGTCTGATCTGAGGTATGTGGGAAGCAGAAAATGCCACTGTGGGTGTCAGTTTACAGTGTAGCCTTCAGGTACCAAAAGCAGGCGTGTTGTGGCGAGAGCCAGGCGGTGTGCCAGACATTTGGTTGTTTCTAAAAGGATCAGTGAGGCAGATTACTGCCTAAATCCCTTCTTTCACTGAGTTCCTACAAGCTGTCATTTCTCTCTCTGCTTCACAATAACCAATGAAAACACTGGCAGGTAGGGTGACTCCAGAAAAGTAGCCTCCTGCAGTGGAACCACGCTGTAGATAGACACATAGAGAAAAAGGTGTTGTTTTTGGATGACAGACAGATTGCAGCGTTTCAGCTAGTCACACAAAGCCATAGACAAACAAGTAACATAAACCCTTCCACACACAGATAAGCACACATAAGTATGCATAAGCAATAAGCATAATGTAAAACCAAGGATCAAATATATGTATATGTATGAATGGCACAGGATATTATTTCCAATCTATACATCACAGACAGCCATGACTGACATGACTGGCATGACCAAGTGTGTTTTAAGGTACAAAACAAATTCACGTATCTTCAGTGCTTCCCACATGCTGAGAATGTATTTGTTTGCTGGGCCACTGCACCACAGCACATTCATCCAATCTATATATGGATGTATATGGATGTGATCTCTTCAGCTGCAGAGTTCAGCTCATTTTTTGGACGGGGGTTAAAATAAATTCTATATAGGGAGGGGGAAAAAACTACATGCCAACACATTCACAAGCACACCGATTCTAAGTCACTGCATTTATAATATTGGGATCAATAACTCTCCTTTACTAAATTTGTCATGAACTTATTCTAAAAGTCGACATGCCACCCACCATAACCAGTAACACAGTACTGCCATAGAAGTTTTAGTAAATCCTAGAAAACCATTAAAAGAAAACACATGATCAAAACCATTTGAGTCTGTAAATAGCCAAATGTCTGAACAGAAGATTGATTCATACTTACGACTAATGTGGCAATCACTCTGCAAAGCCTGGCCTCTTACCCTATACGTACACATCACCACTCTGAGGCACTTGTGTTAGCTTCACTCACACACGCACGGGAAACAAACACATGCACCCCACCCACATTGTAAAAGGGCTCAGCAGCAATCACATTAAAACATGTACTGTATATCTACCTGGCTGTGTGCCTGATGTCCAGTGTCCAGGCCTTCTAATGTGACACACACACACCCCGAACACACACACAAAATCTCATATCTAAACCAACAGTGATTCAAACCTAAATATAGCCAGACCCAAGGACAAACTGCATTGTAGCACATCATGTGAAACTGTTTACTTTAAATTGGCAAATATGTACTATACGTCTGTTTTTCTCTTTAACCTGATCGTTGTTCTGTTTTTACACGTTGTTTCTCCGTCTCTTTTAAACACACATTCATGTGAAGGCTGTACCCCATGGCCAGCAGCGGCTCTGTAATTGTATTTACAGTGGCCTGGCTGGATTAAATTAAAATGAAAACCATCTAACTCATTTACAGGCCAGAGTACCCCCCACACAAAGGCATCACAAATCGAGGCTGCTACTCAAAATTTGGAATTGGATGGAATTAGGATTATAATGGTAAATAATTGGAAAATTTGAAATCAATTGAATTAGTGTGTCCAAAACACAACAATTTGTTGATTAATCGATTACCCCGTAAACTCAAAAACATGTATCTGCAACTATTTTAATAATCGGGTAATTGTTCTGTTTGTCAATTTTAATTTGTTATAGACTGTTGGTTGGACAAAAACAGAGAAAAACTGAAGATGTTACCTTGGGATCAATTAAATTGTGACGGATATTTACAATGTTTTCAAACATTAAAGCCGCTATAATTGATCATTTTTATAATAATGAATCAAATGGAAGTGTGTGAAATCAATACATCAATGCAAAGTGATGAACCTACGGAGAATTATCACCCCAATCTGCAGCTCCTCTCGGCTTTACAGAGCTTTATAGAGTTTCAGCTCAATGTTTAGCTACCGGCCCACAACTTTACTGTTTTGGTTCAATGTTACTGCTCTTAGTGTCAATTTAGGCAACGGTTTTCACAAAAAAGCTCTAAAACCCACTGTACATTACCTGCTCAGCATCAAACAACAGAGAAAGTTAGCATGTAGATTCAAAAATTTCTCTCCTGAGTTGGTAGAGACCAAAAACAGAGCTAAAAGAGAGTGAATATTGGACTAATATCCATTATCCAGTATGTTTTCTACAGAAATGAGTACAGCAACAGAACCCAATGGTAAATTCTTACTGAAAGGACTGAAGAAGAGAAAGACAGATAGACACAGGAGTTCGGGAGAATGAATGCATTGAGGCACCAAACTGAACTGATACTTTAATCATTTGTAACAAGCAGCACATTATGTTTTATCCAGCTAGAAAACAGAACTCAGACACAGACAGGCTTCATTTAACTTGCATGTCAAATTAAAAATGCACTGTGTATGCGTGCACGTACACACTCACAGTTTAATTCAAAATTCAAACGGTTATGCGAAGTGGAACACCGTGTCAAGGATGTTCATCTTTTTTGAATCTTTAATGAAAAACATTCCCAGGGTCTATTTATGAGACAATGGCAATATTGACGCCAGCAGCACAAACAGGGAGCTTTAATTCTCTTAGGCAAACTCCAATAAAATCCAGGCAACCATACTTTGCATGTAGCCTGACCTCAGCTGAACTTTTCCCCTTTCCTCAAACCTTTTTGATGTACTACTTTGTTTCCAGCACATACGGCAGATGTTATCTCTGAAAAGCAAACTGTAACTGTTGTTTGACAATTTAATGTCCTCATTTACATTTGGTAGTAGGTCCAGTCCCTATAGTTGCCCACCCCGGTCTCATCCCAGGCTGTCTTACTCAAAACATGATCTTTTTCCTAAACCTAACCAAGTAGTTTTGGTGCCTAAACCTAGCCAAACTGCGACCATAGAGACCATGAAGAGTACCTTGTACACCAAATACTGATTCTCTGTCAGGCTTTCTCAAAGCATTGCTATTTGACTACCCCGGTAAGACAACATGTTGAGTTGCCACATATCCTTTCTGTATGTTGCCTTTAGTTCTCTATAACATGTTGTTACTGAAAATATCCGTATTTATTCTGCTACCTGATGACAGCTCGCAGAAGGACTCCCCAAAAGTGTATCCTGTTAGTCAAAGTCAAAGAATCTGCAGACCACCTGTGCTAGCTACACCTGCCAGAAAACGTGGACTGTGTTTGCACAAGTTTGACTGACGCACTGACATCGGTGACGGGCATGATGTGTTTCCCCACAAAACACCCCCGGAGGTGTGAAGTACAATATGGAGTCATGAACCAGGTTAGAGCTAAGCCTGTGTGTGTGTATTTGTGTGCATGTATGTGTGTGTTATGGACATTGCAGTTTGAATTTTAGGAGGTGTCTGAGATAGAGAACAGCAGTTTGAAGGATATGACTCATTACAGGCTCTATAGACCCCTCACTGTGTGCCTTCTCTACCTGGAGACTTAAAACAAGGAACAAATTTATTTACTTGCCAGGTTACCAAATCTTTTCCGCCTGTTCGCTCTGGAACCTTTTTTCACCTCAACACTGCGGGGTTGAAATGTGTTGTGTGCAAAATCAACTTGAGCA